GAGAGGAGAACAATGGAATAAAGAAAACTTAACCAACCCAACAAAGATTAAAAAAAAAAAAAAGTACAAAAAAAGATTAAAAATAATATACTGGGCAATGATAGTGATGGGAAAGTTGATGTAACTGTATTACTATCAGAGAAAACATACTTCAATGCAAGAAGTATTATTTGGTGCAAGAAACAGGGACACTACATTCTGGTAAAAGGAACAATTTATCTGGAAACTAACAATTCTAAGCTCTAACACATCTAACAATTCATGGTCAGTTACAAAAAGAACTTAATAGCAGATTTTAAAACATATTTCTTTCAGTCACTGACACTCAAAGGCAAAAAAAAATTGTGAAGATATATAGAATATTTGAGGCACAAAATAAGATTTCCAGAATAAAGATACAGTGTATTGGAATAACAAAATAAAGTTCATCTAATGATCACATGTGGAACCATAGACTTAACAGGAAACAGTCTTTTTGAACATTCATGGAACATTAGGAAAAGAGTGACCAGGACCTAGGTACCAAAGCCAGACATGAGTGTCATTGTCAGAGCAAAACATGGCATGCCTGCCCCCGCCCCCCCCACCCCCCGATTTGTTTCAAACTTTTTTCCATGTCTAAGTTGTGACCTTCTCTTTCTGTCCTGTTCCCCTGCTCCTAACCTGTGGAATCCTCGTGCTAGGGCTTGGGGACCTCTCCTGCTTGTTCTGATGGGGGTCTGGCCATGGGTGTCCATGGCAACATCACCATTCAGGGTGTGGGGCTGCAGGGAAGCCTCTAACCACGACCACGCGCTCTGTGCTCTGCTGTCATAGAGCTGATCTTGCCAATGTTAGCCGTAACAAGGCTTTCTTCCAGGGTTCCTCAGCTCTAGCCGTTAACGACTGCAGTCTGTAGAATCTGGTGAAACTTTTAGTCTGTACAGTGCCTGCTTTATTACATGATTTTCTTGCCAGACAATAACTGCTCAGGTAATAACTGAATAATCATGTTTTCTAAAAGTATAAATGCCTGAAAGGTTTATTTATTAAACCGAAGCATCTAACCTCTCCAGTTCCACCTGCTGCTTCGCTGGGCTCCTTCTCACCTGGCTGGCTGCTGCGTCCTTCCTCTGCCTGGCCCTCTGGCAGGTGCTGGGGCACCCCAGGGGCCAGCACGGCCCTCCCCCATGCTGACTTCACTCTCACCCAGGGGTCAGCTCACCCTAGGGTCAGCATGGCCCTCCCCCGTGCTGACCTTCACTCTCACCCCAGGGGCCAGCACGGCCCTCCCCCGTGCTGACGTCACACTCACCCCAGGGGTCAGCACAGCCCCTCCCCAGTGCTGACTTCAGGCTCACATGGTCCGACATGAGTCGCCTCTGCTGACCTCTCCCTGCTCTCCAATATCACACTCCAGACACCCCATCTTCCTGTGCCCAGCTTGTCCCTGCCTTGTGACTCTGGCTGCTGCCATCCTAGAATTCCTTCTCGGAATTTGGATTTCAGCTTTAATGCCACCTTCTGAGAGAGGCGCTGACCATCTGGCTTACTACACATCATCCTCCTATCTTAGGTCTCTGCAGGGTGCTAACTGCTGTTGTATTTTCTACTCTCACTCACTGCCCATTACCCTCCACTAGAATATCAACTCCATGCAGGGACTTTGTTTACTTTATTGCTATTGTAACCTAGACACATCCTGGCTTCTCACAGGCACTCAGTAAACGAATTCAGGAGCTATACGAAGGCGGCAAAGAATAGACTTGAGAGAACAGAGAAACTGAAGGAGAGAAAAACCATCAAGAAATAATTCAGTAATGTTTCCCAGAACCGAAAGCTTATGAATTTCTAGAATGACAGGGTCCACTGAGTTAATTAGCACCATGGTGGGGGAAGGTTGGACACATACATCCCGATGTTTACACAGTCAAAAACTCGACTTACATGCCCCATTTCTCAGGAAGCTAGGGCGTGGTGTTTCACCAGAAGGAAGTAAATGAAGAAGAGGGAAAAAATAGGATAAGAAAATGAAACCGAAGCCAGGGTTCCAATACGGCAGAGAAGGGAGAGCCAGGAGGCTGGGCACAGGTGAGGGGCAGCCGTCCCAGACTGAAGGTCAGGAGGCGGCAGAGACGGCACTGAGAAGAGAACCTGGGAAGTGAGCACCCTGAGGGACCCTGACTCCCAGCCAAGTCTTTGGGGTTCAGTTAGTAACAAGGATGTAGGAGATGAAGCAAAAGGGGAGAAAGAGGCAATTACAGCAGGGAAGACGAAGCCGCACAGGAAGGAAAAGCAGCCACGTTTGCCAGTGGTCCAGGTGTGAACTGCTTTCACAGACACCGGACTCTGCTGCCTGAGCTCAGGGTGGGTGGGGATGGGAGCCCAGAGCTCGACCCCCTCCTGCCGTGGGGGGTGGGAGGGCAGGCAGTATTCTTTCTCCTTTGTGGGAACACGGAAGGCAGACTGGACCATATGTGTAGTTGCAGCTCACGTATAAAAACTACTTACAAAATAGAAAGGTTCCAGAGAACTTGCTGAGTAAGTACCCTGCTGGTAACTTTCTGTTCTAAGATGGTGTCACCCAGTATGCAGTTTTGTTTATGACTTTGCAAGGCCGTTTTATGCTGACACTTGCTCGTCTACAGATTATCCTCGAAGCATGACCCTTGTGAGACTCGGTAAAGCAACAATGACCTGAAGGCATTCATATTTTGTTCAAATGGAAATGTTCCCTATTTAATAACTATGAGCTTTTAATTATACAATGATCACCTTAAAACATTTCAGAAACCTCATTATATAAAAATTCTTTCCAAGAAAGGAGAAAAGGCATTTTGAGAATTATGAAAATTTTCCATAAATAAAAGATTAGTAGAGTATAATTTCAGGGAACAATTCACATCAACCAACAAAATAAATTTTCAAGAATTTCAAGCATATGCTGGTGATTATTGTCTCTCAGGACTCAAATGCAGATTAACTGACCTTATAACTGATAACGCACATTGTATGTCTATAATTGACACATTTTGCATATCTGTATTTGGAAAGAAAAGTAAAAAGAACAATTAAAATAAAAAGGGAGAACCTAAATGAGTCATAAACGAGATCTTGAAGGGGCTTTATCCCACTCTTCCGTTTCCACCTTTAATATGGCAGTTTAAAAAAAATCAGAAAGAGGCCAGAACCAGAGAGTTGAATGTGTCACACAGCAGGACAGAGTCTCTGTTGTATTTCCTTTGGGCACTGCTTATTTTCTGAGGAAAGATTCTGGGAGTGCCACCAATGTCACCTTCTCACGGCCCCATCATGCACTCTGCGGATGCTGGGGCTCAACCAAGGGCTGGCCCCGTGGGAAGGGAGGTAAGGGGGCTTTTGTCTGGGGGAGCAGAAATGACAGCGCGTGTGCAACAGCGTGTGAGCAAGCAGTGTGTGCGCAAACAGCATGAGAGCAAAGTGTGTGCAGACAGCGTGTGAGCAAACAGCGTATGTGCAAAGAATGTGTGTGCAGACAACAGCGTGTGTGCCAACAGCCTGTGAACAAAGAGTGTGTGTACAGAGGACAATGTTATGTGCAAAGAGTGTGTGAGCAAATGGTGGGCAGAGCTGCAGGTACACGTCCCAGAAGGGGTGGGGGAGCAAAGCCTGGGGCCACTGTCCGTGGAACCTCTCTGTAGCCAGACTAAGAAGGTCTGGGGGTATCTGAGTTATAATAAAATATGTGTAAACCCAGGCTGCTCATTCATCAAGTTTTTATTAAGCACCTACTATGTGCCCACACTGCAGGCGGTGCCGCAGGGAGTGCAGAGGAGAAGACACGGTCTCCACCCTCCAGGACCTTACAAACCTAGAGGCAGGATCAGGTGGATGTGTGACCCAGCAGCACGGGACACATGCACGGGGCAAGTCCCAGACAGTGTGGAGGCCAGTGGCTGGGGACACGTGGTCTCTGGGGCAGGCTGCTGGCAGGCTGTGGGGCTGGCCACGAGAGGGCCCTGGACACAGGCTGGGACGGGGCTGGGCCTGGGCGTACGAGGCCAGGCTCTAACCTTCTCCCGACCCGAGGACCCGGTGACCTCTCCTGTGCCCACCACCGCCCTTCTCCCAGGAGAACAGACTGTGTGTGTGGAGTCAGGCGCGACACAGGCTTCCTGCTTCGTAGCCTGCAGCAGACTTGTCCAGGCTTCCAGGGAGGGGATTCCAGGTGTGGCTTCAGTGGTATTTGCCCTGGTGCTTTCAGAGGACTGGTCAAGAGCAGGATATTCTGGACGCCCAGGAAAATCTGCCTCCTGTGGCCACACCCACGGGTTATATTGATCACTGGTCACAAGTGGTGAACCAAAGCCACACGTACGCAGATCCTTCCCCCAAGTCCACAGGTCCTCCAGGGGGTCCCGCCTTCTTCAATGCACACACATCAGATGCTCAGCTCTCTCGTGGAGAAGCATGGAGCCCATGCTGACCCCCGACTCCGCGGCACTCCAGGAGGCTTATTACGCAGCCCGGAAACCGTGGCGGGCTTTTGCCCTGTCCACTAGCGTGTGTGTGGGTGCTTGAGACTCTTGAGCTGGGGGGCAGCGCGGCTGTCTCAAGTGCTGGGGAACGCAGGCAGCAGAGAGGGTCTGGGCAAGCGGGAAGCATGTGGATTGGGCCTCACAGTCACCTGCTTTTTCCTAGGAAGAGTCAGCGTGGGATGCTGGACGGGGCAGCAAAACACTGCTTCTCCTCTAACTCAGCATGGAGAGTGCAGAGCTGGGTCAAAGGCAGTGGGCAGAAGAGGGGCCCCGTGGCCCTCGGGTTGGAAGTGTGCATGGGGAGCCCCGGGGGCTGGGGGAAGAGCCTGACTACGGCTGTATGGCACAGCAGCAGCACTTGAGCAAGCCTCCACGGGCCCCGGCCATGGGGGGCAGGGGCCCACCTGCTCCAGGTGGGATGGCCAGACACCCTGTTCCCAGCACAGTCCAGGGCTCCCAGGGGAGGGGGGCGTCGGGGGTCATGGGCTGGGGGAGGCGCGGGGCTCAGGGTCTCAGCAGGAGGCGTGTCCCAGGCCACTTGAGCCACAGGAAGGGCACCAGGCGCCGGGTGAAGGTGGCCGTGAACGTGTAGATGAGCTCTTGTGACTCGGCGTTGGTGAAGGTTACGGTGCCCCCCTCGTAGTCCAGGGCGATGCCCACCCTCCGCGGCCGCAGCGCAGGGAAGAGCTCAGCCTCGGGGTCAGTATTGGCCCAGATGCCCGCAGATGAGAGGCGCAGGGCCCATACCCCGTCCTCTGGCCGCAGGGACACGTCTCCCTTCCTCTTCACAGAGTCTCTGGCCACCCCCACCATGCAGCTTTCCAGGACCTCCTCCCCCTCCTCCTCCTCCTCCTCCTCCTCCTCCCCCAAAGACTCCTCGTCCTCATCTGTCTCCCAGTCTTCGTACCCGTCCCCGTAGCCGGCCTCCTCCTCCTCCTCCTCCTCCTCCCCCTCCTCCTCCTCCTCCCCGTCCTCCTCCTCCTCGGACCAGCCCTCCCTGTCCACCTCCACCTCCCAGTACACCTTGCCCCAGGTGAAGCCCTTACTTCCCAGCACACCCGGCTCACAGTCAAACTGATGCGGGTGCAGGTAAGTGCTCTGGTACAGGCCACTGTACGTCACACACTTCCAGTCCTCTGACAGCTGCAGGTACCCGCTGGCCGACTGCGGGTCCAAGGTGACACTCACTGCGGGGACAGCAGAACCAGGAGTCACCAGTAGGCGGGAGGCAGGTCTCCAGGGCTGCCCACTGAATAAGCCCAGGGGGACCAATCCCAGCTCAGGGGCATGCAGGACACGACCTGACAGCAGGGCCTGGGGCACACACGGCCCCTGGCCAGTTGCATGTGTTGCAGAGGAGGGTCAGACGATCAAGTACAGGCCTCTGTGGCTGATTACAGACACAATGCGGGGGCTCAGACCAGCAGCTGGGAAATCTCGCTGCAAGAGGGAGGGGCCAGGGACAGCAGGGACCAGGGTGCCTCTCTGGTGGGAGGGCGTTCTTTTTCTCTACAGGAGGTGAACTGGGACAGCCCTTCGGACACTTACCCGTCTTATATTCCAAGTCTCTAAGCAGCTTCCCTGGGGAGGAAAAATACAGCAGTGACCCTCGAGCCCCACACACGTATGGGCCTGTGTCCTACTAGGACAGGAATCATTTCCTGACAGGCCCCCATCCCTGAGACCCAAGAAGAGAAGAGAAAACAACCAGCAGACCCAGGAGTAAGGCCGAACAAGGTGACAGCAAGGAGCTGATTCCACTCCTCCAAACAGAGCCCTGGCTCCGGACTCGATCTGCGACCCCCAGCTCCTGACCCCCCACCCCAGTGCCCTCCCTGCCCAGCTCCTGATCCCCACCCCAGTGCCTTCCCTGCCCAGCTCCTGATCCCCACCCCCG